AGCCGTCCCCAGGCCCCCTGGACTAGTTCCATGGGGTGCCCAGGCCTGTGCCAGCCAGAGGGACTCTGCTCATGGGAGCCCTGTGGGATCAGTCTGGGTCCCAGCTGACCAGGCTCTCCAGTGTCACAGCAGGTACAGCCACTTTCTGGCCCCCAGTCCACTGGCTGGGGGTCCCTGTGCTTGGGTGTGCCAAGGCCTCGGTGGGGGGATGTCTTTGGTCAGTCATGCAAAACGACACATACAGGGACTCAAATAATTTGAAAAGCTCCTCCACTCACTATGCCCCAAATCGAAAAAAACATTTTTGTCTCGTTTTGTTTTGCTCTCTTTGAGTCTTACTTCGCTCACAGGAAGGGGTGCATGTCTCTGATGTGTATATTGCATTTTACAGCCTACAGAGTATTTCCAGGGTCAGCTTCTCATTCGCAGCAGGCCTAGGCCGCAGGGAAGGCTGGCCATGCCCCTGTTCCAGAGGCTCAGGGAGGCTGGGTGACCAGCCATGACCAAGGTGCTGGGGGGTCACGAGCCCAGACCCAGCGGGCCCGGGCGCGGGGCGGGGCAGGAATGGAAACCGCAGCGGCAGCCGGCTGGGCTGGCACGCTGCCGGAGCTGTCTCTCTTCCCTGGATGGGACACAGTGCAGCCTTTGTTCTCTGGTCCAGCTGTTCTGGATTGCTCTCCCTTTCTCCACCCAAATGCTGTCTCCTGCCTCAGGGCTTTCGTACAGGCTGTCCCCTCCGCCGGGAAGACCGCTCTCAGGGAAACCTTGCCCTCGCCGCTCGGGTCTCAGCTCGTTTGCTCGTCGATTCATCGCAGAATGTTCACACAGTGCGTGGCCGGGGGCGGGAACCCAGAGTAAATGCGGCAGAGCCAGCGTGGCCAAGGTCAAGTTGGGAATAAAGCATCAGACAGTCAGGGAAGGGGCTACTGGGAGGGGGAGGGGCCTGTAAAAGAAGACCTGGCAGGGGCACAGCCAGTTCAAAGGCCCTGAGGCAGGGCACAGCCTGGCTGTTGGAAGGACTGAAAGGTGACCTGCTTGGCTGCCTGGCCGAGGTGCCGGGTACAGAATGGAGTGTCGTGGGAAGCGTAGCACAGGACGAGGGTAGGGAGAGGGCAGGCCTGTTACTTGGCCGTGGTAAGGACCTGGAGTTTGACATGAGCTTTAAATAGAGATGGCTTCTGACTTACCTTCCGAGGCTCCCTGGGCTGCTGTGTGCGTAGCGGATGATTGGATGGACATGGGGGTCACGTGGGAGCTGGGGGCTGCGGAGGGCTCTGGGGAGCGATGATGGGGGCGTGACCCCTGGCAGGGGCGGGCAGAAGGCTTGGTTTCTCAGGTTCCCTGGGGAGAAGGATGGTGAGGGGCTGGAGGTGCAGCCTTGGGTTGTGAGCATAAAGGTTTTTGAGTGCGTGGAATTGCTGTGAAGACCCAGGGAGAGGGTGTGGGTTAAGAGGGGAGGCAGCAAGGAGACTGAGGAGGAGGGCCCGCGAGCCTGGTGGGATCCAGGAACAGGGGTTCCTGGTGGGGCGGAGGGTCTGCAGGTGCTGAGTGCCCAAGGGAGGACAGGATGGGCAGCATGGCTGGGGTGGTGTGGTGCCTCCGACCTTGGCCTTGATGGAGAGGTGGGGCAGAGAGCTTCAGGCCAGAGGGAGCATGGGAGGGAGGAGATGCAGACAGTGGAGGAGGTGGACGGGGGGACAGGGGGGAATGAGGCGGCAGCTGCGGGGTGTGGAAGGCAGGGTCGGGGTGTGGAAGGCAGGGTCGAGGGGGAGAGTTTTGTTTTAAAAGATGGGACACCAGAGGGTGTTTGAGGGCAGACAGGACAGTCCAGTGGAGGGGGAGCGGCTGCAGCCAGTCCTCTGGAAGGTGAGCCAGGCGGCCTGGGCTGGGAGCAAGGACCTTCATGCCCAGTGACTGAAAGGGAGGATGAGGTGTGGGCAGGTGTGTGTGGGGGGCTTGCTGGCTGGGTGGGAAGAGGAGTCAGTGGGGGCTGGAGGATGAGTCGGGGAGGCTTGGGAGAAGGGAGGCGGGGGAGGGAGGCACCCACTTCTAAAGCAGCAGCTAGAGTGGCCGGGAAGGTGGGCCACCAGGGGGAGATCAAGAATTTAGAGGGAGCCATGTGCTTGGTCGTGGGATTTTCTCTAGCAACTTGGAGCTCCCGGGGCAGACCAGAGAAGTGGGGATACTTCCTCCAGGAAGCTGTCCCGGCCTTCCTCTGCTGGGTCAGGTCCCGGAACTCACCTTGCTGCCCACCTCCAGGATTGGTGGGTGCTCATAAATATTTATCAGCTGATCGATCTGCATGCAAAGTGCCAGGGAGAGGCAGAGCCTGGGTGGAGCTGGCCTTCCCACAGCCTTTTCCTCGCTGGGCGGTACTGGCTACCAGCAGCTGAGTTCTTCGCCGTGTACTCAACTAAGCCTGTTCACTTCTCACTTCACACACAAGGGAGCCTCCCCCTACTCTGCAGAAGAGGACAGTCGGGGCTTGGAGAAGTGCTTTAGCTCCTTCTAAGTACCAGTACCCTGCCCTGTACTGCTCTCCCCACTCCCTAACACTCAAAGAAGGGAGAGACTTCTTAAAAAAAAAAAAAAAATTCTCTATTTATTTTTAGAGAGAGGGGAAGGGAGGGAGAGAAACATTGATGTGTGAGAGAGACATCTTTCAGTTGCCTCTTGCAAGGTAACATCTGGGGACCCAGCCCGTCACCCAGGCATGTGCCCTGACAGGGAATCAAACCGGCGACCTTACATTTCACAGGCCAGCGCTCAATTCACTGAGCCACACCAGCCAGGGCAGAAGGGAGACTTTAAGTAGAAGCCCTTGGCCTGTCTTTCAGATAGTGCATGGGGTCATGTGCCCACTGGGGGGCAGCCCCTTGAGAAGGGAGGCAGGGAAATGGGCTGTGAGCATCAAGGGACGCTAGTGACAGAGGGGACTATCTGTGTTGGGTGTCCCATCCCTGGTAGGGCCACCCTGGCCTCTTCGAGAGAATGAATAGGGCTCGTGCGTGGCTCTGAGTCTGTATCTGGTGGAGGCACTTTCAGTCTGATTGTGGTGTCCCTGGGATGAAGTCAGTCCTCAGCAGGTCTTGGTGGCTCCTCTGTTGGCCCTGCCACCTCCTCTCAGTGTCATTCCCCCTGTGCTCCCCACCCTCTTCACTGCCCTGCCCTACACGCTGAATTCCACTTACCCACGGCCCTGACCGTGCTCTTCCTGCTGGCGGAACGCCGTGCCCTGCCCTGGCTGCCTCCCGTCCCTCTCTGAGCCTCTCTTACTATGCCCCCCGGGCTGGGGTTCTGGCTACCTGTCTCCCGGGCCCCGGCGGCTTCCTTGGCTCCTCTGTGGACTGCTTGCTTGCTTGTGCAAAGCAAGGGTCAGCCCCCCCTCCCACGCTGCTTTGTGGGTTCTCCAGGGTCAGGACCTGCACTTGGTAAGGGTCTGTGGAAGGGGTGGAATGTGGCTGCCAGAAAGTGTGGCTCTGGATTGAGCCACAATTGAAGTGGATTTGGGGTGTTCTTTTTTATAAGAGTCCCACCACAGTGTCGAGCCGGGCCATGAGCTCGGCCCATGAGCTTGGCCCTTTCCGTGTGCGCGGGTCCCTGAGGAGCAGAGGCTTGGATGCACCTAGTGACTTTGGCAGGGCAAAGGGCACTTGCAGGAGACCAGCCTGTCTCTTGAACACCTACCCCTTGCAGTTGTCTCCCCAGAAGGCTCCAGGAGGCAACCCTTCCTCTCCCACCACTTCCTCTAAAGGCCCTGCCTCCTCTGCACACTCTCTAGTGCCTTTTGAGTCCCTTGCTGTTTGTCTCCCACCTTCCTGTGGTCAGTGGGGACGGCTGGGACTGGGGAGCGTGTGTGTGGTCCAGCGGAGTGAGGCTGGGCCGGGCACCTGGGCACCCACTGGCCTCAGGCCAGCAGGGGGAGCCCGTGAGCCGCTGACTGGGACTGCTGCTCAGGAAACATCCCTCCGAGGGGCGCTCTGGGCTCCTCGGCCTGGTGCCGCCCAAAGGGAGGCCAGGCCCAGGGCCAAGGCCAGAGCAGAGACACCATCCTGAGCAGACCCAGAGTCCGTGAGCTGATGGGGAGCGGGCAGGCTTTTCATTCACCAGACACAGGTGGCCTCCTAGCCTCTCCAAGCTCCTATTTCCTCACCTGCAGAGTGGGGACAGTTCCAGCTGCTCCCTGGGTACACGCCACGCCACCGGGGAAGGCCCCAGTGGGCACCTGTCAGTGAGGAGCCCTCAGCTGAGGCTGGGGGGTGTGTTGTGAGCCAGCAGCAAATCTGCTTTGTTCTGTGGCTCTTTGAGGAGGAAGGTTGTCTTGGTTCCCTGTGTCCTGAGCTGACACATAATGACAATGATAATGAAAATGATTGATCATGTAACTGATTGATAGTGTAACCCATTGATGATGTAACTGATAATGTAACTCATCGATCAGATAACAGGTTGATAATGTAACTGATTGACAATGTAAATGATTAATAAGGTAATTGATTGATCATGTAATGGACTGATAATGTAACCAATTGATGATGTAACTGGTTGATAATGTAATTGATTCAGTGTCACCCACCTTCCTGGCCTTAGCATGTGTGAGTAAGCTGGGAATTATTCTGCAGGAGACGTCTTAATCCCCATCCTATAAATGAGGAAATTAGGGACCTGGAGCTGTGGGGGCAGCTGGAAAGGGGCAGAGTTGATTTCCGAACTCAGGTCTGTGGTGCTTGAGAGACGTCCTCTGCCTCCCTGGGCCTCAGTTTCCCCTCCTGAACAAAGAGGGCAGGGCAAGGTGTTCTAGGGGCTTCCAGGCTCCAGACCGCAGGCCCCTGCCCCCACGCCCCCTCCCCTGGAGCCTATGGGAAGGACAGACTCCATAGGGCCGGTTCTCGGACAAGGTGAGAGTCCCGAGACCTGCAGGGGGTGGGGAGCCCCCAGGACTGGCCCCCTCTCTACCTGCTTTGATTCGCCTTCCTACCCGCCCCACCTCGCCCCTGCAGCTTTTCTGAAGGGCCTGAGTGACAAGCAGCGGGAGGAACATTACTTCTGCCAGGACTTCATCAGGCTGAAGAAGATCCCAACCTGGAAGGAGACGGCGAAAGGTAGGCCTGCGGGGGAGGCCCCCTGCCCCCGCAGCCACTGGCGGATGGCCCCTTCAGACCCACGTCCTGGGAGAGTCGTACAGACAAGGCCAAGAAGAACAGCAGCAGCGTTTATGGAGTGCTTGCTGTTCGGGGGGGGGGCACTTTGCCCACACGTCACCTCGTTTAACTATTAACACAGCCTGAGGCAGGTGTGGTTCTTATCCCCGTTACACTGTGGGAGGCTGAGCCCAGACCCACCATCCCGTCGCTGAGCTGGGAGGTGTAGCTGTGGTGGGGTGGCTCACAGGCGTGCGTGCTGGAGGCGCCCAGGCCCTGCAAACTATAGTCCTGGTGACCGGGGAGCGGGGCCCGTCCCTCAGCCCACCTAGGCCAGCTCCACACCTGGGGGATGGGATGGGCGATGCTGATACCATGCCTGTGTGTGATGTGGTTGGGTAGATTCAAGGCCACCTGTTTGTGTATACAGTAGGGGCTTAGTGTGGACTGTCATAACCAGGGTCACCAGCCCCCCCGAGGCAGGCCACCCCTGGAGGCACCTGGTTTGTGGGCACTCGTGGGTCCCTCTGCCTTGGGGGCCTTCCTGGGACCCCACTCTCGGCATCTGCTTGTCCCCAGGGTTGACCGGGAAGGTGGAGGAGCCCAAGTACAAAAAGGACAAGCATCTCAATGAGAAGATCTCTCTCTTCCGGGGAGATATCACCAAGCTGGAGGTGGATGCCATCGTCAACGCCGGTGAGTGGCGCTCCTGGCTGGCCTGCGCCAGAGACCCAGTTCCCTCGTCGCCTTTGCTCTGGTCGGCCTCGCCAGGCACGGGGGACGTGGCTCCAGCCAGGCTCGGGTGGCCGGACTAGATGGCCTGCTGGCGCCACAGGAGCCCGTGTGTTGGCTGAGCGGACTCCTGTTCCCTTGAAACCCTGACCCGCTGTGTCAGGGGCGCCTTGGCTGAGTGGCCTCACAGCTCTGAGACCCATTAGTGGCAGGGAAGAGAGAGCCTGGCTGGAATCGCGCCGGGCTACCCTTCCAGGAAGGCGGGTGCCCTGACCGCCGCTTTCCCTCCTCGGCCACCCCCCCCCCCGCCGCCCCCCGCCAAATTGGGCGAGGGAGCCCACGGTGTGGAGGGTGGGGGCAGAGGCCCCTGGGCCCCAGGCTCAGCTTTCTGCAATGGCTCTTGCTGGCTTGGCAGTTTATTGTGATAAGCTGAGGGGACTGCTGCTCTGTCTCCTCTGGAGGAAGGAGGGAGGTGGGTGCCCTCCTCCCAGGCAGTGGTGGTCTGGCCAAGGTCAGGAGCAGGGCGTCAAGGTGCGGTCAAGTCCAGCAGGCGTGCAGGTGGTTTATGGCACGAGGGTAAGTGGGGCTACACCCAGGCCTGGCTCCCCTGCTCACCGAGCGCCGTAGGAAGGAGCCTCTTTCTTGGCGCAATATTTGTGGACGTGGGCAGACCCTCTTGTCTTGGGCTCCCACTCAGAGGCACCCCCAGAAGCGTCTCTAATCTCCTTCCTCTCACCCCCAAGCTGGTGGCCATTGTTTCTGACTCCAGTGCTGACCAGGGAGTGGGGTAGTTGAGGGACTCTGGGACACGGTGGTGCTAAGTGACAAGGCTCCTGGGCCCGGGAGAGGCAGCCGCGCGGTTGCTCGCAGCCTGCTTGATGGCAGCCCAGGTCGCGTTTCTGGTGGTGGCTTCGCTCTGCGTGCCTGCCTGCCAATGTTTGCAGGACTGTGCGGGTGTGCCCAAGGGTCTGCCCGCCCCCTCCACTGCCTGTCTCGGTACACAGGTGACCAGTCACACGAAGGCTTGGAGCAGTGGGAGCTTGGGTCACCTTTCGGTTTCTTCTGCTAGGTTTGCTCATGTCCCTTGCCTCTAGGACGGTGGGTGACAGCAAGGCCTGCAAGTCCATCTGGGGAGATGTGGAGTAAGACAGGCCGAGCGGGGTTAGCAGGTGTCATGGCGGCCCCGGGGGAGGAGGGTGTTCCTGCTGCCCGGGCCCAGGCAGGGTTGGCCTGGCATAGAAGGACCAAGCCTCGGGGCTGTGGCTGAGGGGACAGTCCCACAGGCCCATGGGGCCGCCCTGCCCGGTGTCCCCTTGCCTTGTCAGTCACTGGCCAAGGGTGTGGCGGACACCCTGCTGGCACTCTCCTTGCTGAGCTGCAAAGTGGCCAGAGGGGAAAGTGGGGCATCTCATCAGCTCCTCCTGGCTGGGTGGGTGGTTGGCGGGCCAGGAGAGGGGGTGGGAGGCCAAGGCAGGGCGTCGGTGGGGCGCAGATGGAGCGGGTGGGGGCTCGGGAGGGCTGTGCGTGATGAGCGGCCCTCCCTGCGCGGCCCGGTGCCTGGCCGGCCTCCGAGTGCCGCGGCTCTGGCCGCCTCTCGCACGCTCAGAGCAGCACTTTGGTCCTGGCTCCCTCTGACTGCGCCGGGGGCGGGGGGCGGCCTTTGCCGTGTCTCTCCGAGGACTGCCTCTCCCATGTGCTGGCCTGCACTCCAGTGTCCGCATCTGCAGGACGGGGCTTGTGGAAACCACAAGCCACGGGGCGTCAGGGGCATCAGGAGCCCATGCTCCTGAACTGTGATGCGCACACAGTGCCGGGCATGACCTGAGGGCTTGGCACCTGCCGCTGTTGTCAAAGCTGGAATCGATGCCATTGTTGTCACCCTGGCATTGGCCCTTTCCCAGCAATGAAAAGGGACACTGGGTGCCTCCCGTAGATGAACAGCTTCCTCTTCCCTCTGCTTGCCTCGGTTTACCCAACACCGCTGGGCATGTTTTCCTGGGATCTCCTTTTTTCTAGAAAGAGCCTCACACCAGGGAGAACCGAGAGCCCTCCTAGAGCTCCAGGGAATGGCTGAGGCTGGCCCTGGACTTGGGGTCCCACACGGAGCTTGCACCCCCTCTAGGCGCTCCGTCCAGGTGTGTGCCCAGTGGTGGTATTCGGGTGAGCTTGGCACTCAGGGGTCCTTGGTGGTCTTGGCACAGGGTCCTGCACTGGGGTGGGGGGAGTTGTCCCTTCGGCCTCATCACGGGGTTCCCCCACTGTCTTGGCTCAGGCTGTCCACTGCCCACTGCCCACCAGGGGGCAGCAGAGATTGCGGTCCCCATGCCCGGCGGCGCCCATAAATCAGCCTGTTTATTAGCAGAATAAAAGTCGAAGCATAGAGGGGCTTTTCCGGGCTGCATAAATCTGGCTTGTGCCTCATGAAACCCATATGTGCTTAATTCATATGTAAAGTTTCAAGCAGGAAGAGAATATGTGTCCATTAAATTCTATTTGACTTGATTATAATCATTAGCCGTGAATAATTGCTTCTCCGCGACGACCGCGGAGCCGCCACAATGGGAAAAAGGAGTGAGCAATTATCGAGGGGTGGAAAATTTTAAATTTTTAGTTTTGAAGCCAGTGGTTAGTGTTGGTCCCAGAGGGGTCAGTGGCCCATGGGGACTGGTGGGGGTCAGACTGAGCTGGGAGATCGAGGTCAGCTTCTAGGTTTTGTGGGGGTGTCCCTTCGTGTCCCTGTGTTCAGGATGGGGGGTGGGGAAGGTGCCGTCACTGCCTGGGCTCTGCTCCAGTGGCAGGGACCATGGCGGGGGAGACAGGGGAGCTGGTTCGAGTCTGCGAGAGAAGGGGGTTTGGGCCCCCAAGCCCCCTCTACACTGAAGAGCCTTGGGCTGGGGAGATCTCCCCACCCCTCAGGAGGACCCCGGGGATCCTTGGAGAGGGCGGGAGCCAGGTGCCCTCGTGCCTGTGCGCCCCACAGAGGGACCCAGCTCGTGGCCTCTCTCAGCACTTTGGAAATTCACATCCTGTTCCCAGCGGTTCCCCTGGCATTGGAAGTACAGGACAGGTGTTTACCCCTCTTGGCCTGCATTTGAGACATGACTGGGGTGGGGGGCGGTGTGTGTGTGTGTGTGTGTGTGTGTGTGATGTATGTTATATGGTATGTGGAGGCAAGGGTCGGGGCAGAGGATAGAAGAGGGACTGCCTGGCCGGTGGACGTCACAGGGGTCAGGACCAAGTCCCCCACATCCTCGGGCACAGTGCCTGCATCCCTGGACCCTTCTCAGCCTGGTTGGCTGCGGCCGCTTGCTCACACAGCGCCCGGAGAGTCTCCGGCTGCTGCCATCTGCGCTGGCCACGGCTCCTGCCCACGGGGGCACGCAGCATCCGTCTTAATTAAATTGGGCTGCCATGCTGGCAAGCTAAGCCAGGGAGCCCCTGTAGGCCCCCGTTCTGGATCAGGAGGTTCTGGGGGGCACTGCCTGCCTTTCCAGCTTGGCCTGCGCCCCCCAGACTGTCTGGGGAGAGCCATGCCTGGCATCTCTTCCAGGTCTGGGGACCCCTACTCTGGGGGACACTTCAGCTTCTGGAGTGTGTGCATCTTCTCTTCTCTTTGCATGGGGGAGGGGTTATGACCTTGACTGGGTCACTTCCATGCCTGTGAGGTTCCCAGCATACCAGGCCTGTGCCTATGGGTCCCTAGTTCTCTATGAACAGCTGAGTCCCAGACAGGAAGTGTCCCAGCACAAAGAAAGACCCCCATTCTTGGCCAGCCCAGGGGCCGGGTTTCTGGCTCTGGCCTTCGGGCGTAACAGGACAGAGCAAGGATGAATGTGATGCTTTGTGCAAAGACAGAAAGAATCTTTCACTTGAAAGGTATCCCAGGCCGTCAAGTCAGGGCCGCGGCACACAGGTCAGCAGCGGGGTCAGAGCCCCAGCGTTCCTGCTGGCAGCGCGGGGCCGCTGGCCGGGCATGCCTGAGCCCCTGTTTCTGCGTCTGAAAAACCGATCCCTGTCGGTTCGACCCATGCTGGTGTGAGGATGACACGCATTCAGGCTTGTCCGGGGCAGGGCTTGGGGCCTGACACATAGAGGCACCCAGCAAACTCTCACTGGGAAGTCAAGAGCAAGAGCAACTAAGTAGAATATAATGTGACAAAGCACTGGAAGCAAGGTCTGAACACAGTGCCACGCGACGCCGTAGGGACCAATTAATTCTGCGGGGAGGTGGCAGGAGGCGAGGCGGGTCAGTAAGGCCTTGGACGGCCTGGCACGTGGGCAGGGCCACACAGACCGGCTGGGAAGCCGTGTTTCACAGCCACAAGCCGGCCTCACTGGGAGTTTTTAAAGACGCTTATTTATTTAAAATAAGGCATGAAGTGGCACTCTGTTTCCTTAAGTCTTGGGGCTTTGATGTGTGGCCTGCCAGCCGCTTACCATCCCCCCTCCTCCAGCCGCGTCAGCCCAGCTCCGTGCCTCACCCCTCTGCTGCCTGGCGGGCCCCCGTGCTGTCCCCGGGCCACCGCACAGAGGCAGTGATTTAGAGTCCGCCTTGATGGACTAGCAGGCAGGGGGCTGGGGGACGCCGACTGCCTTGTGGGAAGTGATCTGACGCTAAACTGTCGCCGTAAATCGCTTTATCTGTCACTTCAGATTTAAATGTGTTTGCTGAGGCTTGCCTCCGCGCCAACGGCAGCAACCTCTCCGCAGTGGGCAGGGAGGGCGGGCAGGTGGGGACCTGTGAGCAGCGGCAGATGTTGCTGGGCCCAGTCGCCCGAGGAGCACCGGGTGAGGACTGGCCCCTTCCCCTGGCCCCTCAGTGGCCACCCAAGGCCTCCGTGACACAGGCAGGACTAGGGGCCCTGTTTTCAGTGATCAGACCAAGGCTCAGAAAAAGAGAGAACATGCCCCAGCTTGGCAGGTGACCTCACACATGGCCTTTCCTTTGTTGGGCAGACGTGTGT